GCCAGGGATAGGCAGACACAAGCCGGCAGCTGCAGTTGCCATCCAGGTGGCAGGAACACGCCTACCTGGGCTGTCTGCGCTGTCTCCCGAGGTCCACACTGGCAGGAAGCTGGAGTCAGCAGTGAGATCCAGACACCAATGCAGGCGCCCCTACACGCCTCCAACCACCAGTTCCTGGCCTGCAGACAGTCATTTGAGGTTATTGTTGTGTGCTGGTTCACTCCCAAAGTGGCTACAATGGCTGGAGCTGAGCTGATCTGAAGCCAGGAGCCAGGAGCTTCTTCCAGGTCTCCCATGTGGGCGCAGGGGCCCAAGCAGTTGGGCCATCTTCCACTGCTTTCCCAGGCCATAGCAGAGAGCTGGATCGGAAGTGGAGCAGCCGGGACTTGAACCGATGCCCCTATGGGATGCCGGCACTACAGGATGGGGCTTCTGTGCCACAGAGCCAGCCACGTGTGCATGGATCTTAACCTTCACCTAAGTGGCTGTTTCTTCACTACGCATTTTTTTTTAAAAAAGATTTTATTTATTTGAGAGGTAGAGTTACACAGAGGAGAGATAGAGGTCTTCCATCCACTGGTTCACTCCCAAAATGGCTATAACGGCTGGAGCGGAGCTGATCCAAAGCCAGGAGCTAGGAGCTGCTTCTGGGTCTCCCATGCAGGTGCCATCTGCTGCTTCCCAGGGCACAGCAGAGAGCTGGATTGGAAGAGCAGCAGCCGGGACATGAATGGGCGCCCTTATGGGATGCTGGCGCCACAAGTGGAGGCCTAGCCTACTGTGCCACAGCGCTGGCTCCCAGCAGTTTTTAAAATTTATATGAAAGGCTGAGTAAGAGAGAGTAGGGGGAGGGGGTTTATCTTCCATCTGCTGGTTCACTCCCCAAATAGCTGTACTACCTAGGGTGGGGCCAGGCTGAAGCCAGGAGCTAGGAACTTCATCTGAGTCTCTCACATGCATGGCAAGAACTCAAGTACAGAAGTCAGTACTGGCTGGTCCCCAGGTGCATAAGCAGGGAGCTGGATTGGAAGTGGAGCAGCTGGGACTTGGACCAGCACTTTGATATGGGATGCAGTCATTCCAAGCGGCAGCTTAACCCACGGCACCACAATCCACCCCCCCCCCCCCCCCCCAGTAATCTAACAACAAAAAAGACTCATTCAGGCTTTTATCACATCATCTTATACAGATCATCTTATACAGGGCACCTAACAAATTAATGGAAAAATGAAATTTGGGGGGCCGACACTGTGGCACAGTGGATTAAGTTCCCATCTGCAGTGCCAGCATCCCATGTGGGCACCAGTTCAAGTCCCGGCTGCTCTACTTCTGATCCAGCTCTCTGCTATGGCCTGGAAAAGCAGTGGAAGATGGCTCGAGTGCTGGGGTCTGCTCCCACGTGGGAGACCTGAAAGAAGCTCCTGGCTTCAACCTGCCTCAGCCCCGGCCATTGTGGCCATTTGGGGAGTGAACCAGTGGATGGAAGATATGTCTGTTTATGTAATTCTGACTTTTAAATACGTTAATAAATAAATAAATCTTTTTTTTAAAGCCATTTAAAAAGACAATCCTAATTATTTTATTTACTTTATTTGAAAGTCTGAGTTACATGGGGTGAAGGGAGAGAGAGAATGATTCACTCTCCAGACGGCCACAACAGCTGGGCCTGGGCCAGGGGCCTAAGCATTTTGGCCATCTTTGCTGCTTTTCTCAGGCCACTGGCAGGGAGATGGAGTGGAAGTGGAGCAGCCAGGCCTTGAACGACAATGTCCCTATGGGATGCTGGCATCACAGTTGGTGGCTTTACCTGCTATGCTATGATGCTGGCTCCAGATGAGTTTCTTTAAAAAAATCTTTGTGGTGCAAAAAATGTAGAGTCCACACATATTTCCTTTATTTCCTGTTTACTTGAAAGGCAGAGAGAGGTATCTTCCATCCTCTGGTTCATTCCCCAAGTGGCTGCAGCAACGGCTGGTGCTGGGCCAGGCTGAAACCAGGAGCCAGGAACTTCATCCTGGTCTCCCATGTGGGTGGCGAGGGCGCAAGCACTAGGGCCCTCCTCTGCCTTCCCAGGTGCATTAGCAGGGAGCTGGGTCAGAAGTCGAGCAGCAGGCAGGACTTGAGCTGGCGGTTAGCTCGCTGTACCGCGATCTGGCCCCCATGCAGCTTTTTTGTAACTCCACGAACTTTTTGAGAACTCCTCAAAGTGTCCATAGTTAATACCAGTTTTTAACTGTAAACTAACAGGAATTAAGCTGCTCAGCTTTGCTAAGAGGAAGTCTCCCCACATGCCAAGTGCGTTTCCGAGGCTGAGCTGCAGTCAGGATCTCTTGGCTTTGCCCTGATCCCCCACAATGCAAGCGGTGGGCTCTGACCAGGGGTGACCCTGTGTGTCCCCACAGTCCACACTTGCAGTTTGGGTGAAGTGGCCCATTCATCCTAGTGCCCCGGACCTTGCTGGCCAGAAGAGGCAGTTTGGCTCTGTCTGCCACCAGGACCCCAGGTCAGTGTGGCTGTTCTACGTCTGTCCATCTTCCTGGGGGGTGCGGCAAGGGCACAGGCTCCCCCTCTTGTGGTTGAGTTGGGTGGGAGGGCACAATGGCAGGGGCTTGGCACAGTGCTCACGTGTTGGGCTCACGCAGGGTGTGTGACGAGCCCTCCTCTGAGGACCCCCATGAGTGGCCAGAAGACATCACCAAGTGGCCGGTGAGCTGGGGGGGTTGTTGGGGAGCCACCCTCCTCCCCTGAGGCCACACCTCACCAGCAGTGGTGCCAGAGAGACCCCCACTGTGGGGTTAGTGTCTCCAGACGCCCCTGGCGACCTGTGAGGTCAGGCAGACAGGCGGTGTGTGCTGGGTTGGAGTCAGGACACCTGTCTCCAGTGGACTTGCTTATGCGGGTCCTGTGTCCACACACACAGAGAGGCCAAGGGCTGGGGGAGCCCCTGGCCCAGCTTACCCCTGTCTCTGACCCAGATCTGCACGAAAAGCAGTGCTGGCAACCACACCAACCATCCGCACATGGACTGTGTCCTAACAGGCCGGCCCTGCTGCATCGGCACCAAGGGCAGGTGAGTGTGCGTGCTCACTGCACCTGCTGTGCCAGCCTCACACGTGCCCTGCGATTGTGCCCTTCCCCCTTGCCAAATCTTGAAAAAATCCCGACTCCCCAGGGTGTGGGGTGGGACTCACTCAGGGCTGAGGGCGGCGCCTTGGCCCCTGAGCCCGCAGTCTCGTTCTGCAAGGTGGCGCCCTCCAAGCTCGGCTTGCCTTCCAGGTGTGAGATCACCTCCCGGGAGTACTGTGACTTCATGAGAGGCTACTTCCACGAGGAGGCCACTCTGTGCTCCCAGGTAGGCCTCCGCCGGGCAGCCCTGCCCCCGCCCAGCACCGCAGGCACTGACGGCCGCTCTCCGCAGGTGCACTGCATGGATGACGTGTGCGGGCTCCTGCCCTTCCTCAACCCCGAGGTGCCCGACCAGTTCTACCGCTTGTGGCTGTCCCTCTTCCTGCACGCAGGGCAAGTGACACTGGGCTGAGCAGATGGTCTGAGACCCCAGGAGTGGGAGTGGGAGCTGGCTGGGGTGGGGGCAGCCACTCCCCGGCTGATGCCCCGTCCGCCCCACAGGATCCTGCACTGCCTGGTGTCCGTCTGCTTCCAGATGACGGTGCTGCGGGACCTGGAGAAGCTGGCGGGTTGGCACCGCATCGCCATCATCTACCTGCTGAGCGGTGTCACTGGCAACCTGGCCAGTGCCATCTTCCTGCCATACCGGGCAGAGGTAACCCCTCACAGCCCTGGCCTCGGGTGGGGTTGCTGCCGTGGGTTGTGGCCAGCCCGAGTCCCCTTCAGGGTCGGCCACACACTTTGGGTCTCCACCTGGCGGGTCAGCCCTGATCGGCTCTGGGCCGTGGCAGGCAGGGTCGGGGATGGAGCCCTGCGAGCTCACGGGGACCGCCTCTGCCCCCAGGTGGGCCCGGCCGGCTCTCAGTTTGGCATCCTGGCCTGCCTCTTCGTGGAGCTCTTCCAGAGCTGGCAGATCCTGGCGCGGCCCTGGCGAGCCTTCTTCAAGCTGCTGGCCGTGGTGCTCTTCCTGTTCACCTTCGGGCTGCTGCCCTGGATCGACAACTTCGCACACGTCTCTGGCTTCGTCAGCGGCCTCTTCCTCTCCTTTGCCTTCCTGCCCTACATCAGCTTCGGCAAGTTTGACCTGTACCGCAAGCGCTGCCAGATCATCGTCTTCCAGCTGGTCTTCCTGGGCCTCCTGGCTGGCCTGGTGGTCCTGTTCTACTTCTACCCCGTGCGCTGTGAGTGGTGCGAGTTCCTCACCTGCATCCCCTTCACCGACAAGTTCTGTGAGAAGTACGAGCTGGACGCTCAGCTCCACTGAGCTGGCTGTGGGAGCTGGCGGCCCCGTGCGCCAGCGGGCTGCAGCTGGGCAGGCATGACCCCTGAGCCCGAGGCCTAGGAGACGGCCTGCTGGGTGCAGGGCCCTGCATTTCCTGAACACAGACCGCCTGTGCCTCGTTCGCGCCAGCTGAACTGAACACAGACCACCTGTGCCTTGTTCACGCCAGCTGAACTGAACACAGACCGCCTGTGCCTCGTTCGCGCCAGCTGAACTGAACACGGACCGCCTGTGCCTTGTTCACGCCTGTTGAACTGAACACGGACCGCCTGTGCCTTGTTCACGCCTGTTGAACTGAACACGGACCGCCTGTGCCTTGTTCGTGCCTGTTGAAGCCTCCGCACTGCCGGTGCTCACTGTCCGCGTCCCTGTGATAACCGTCTAACCAGTCCTTCGACGACCACCTCACGTGGCCAATAAACGTACCGGGAGCGTTTTAGCTGCCACTGACTCGACTGAGGTGTCTCCTCCTTCCTGGCGTCTGGCTCGGGGCCATGGAGGGAGCCCCTGCCAGCCCCTGGCCCGAGTCCCCGGAACGGGAACCGAGTGTGAGACACAGCCACGGCGCCTCAGGCGGGTGCGTGCCACTGGGAGCGGACACCGGGGCGGGTGGTGGCATCGCCCCAGCTGCTTGGCACTTTTCTAAGTGAGCGCTGGGGGCTGAGGCTGGGGGCCCACCCACAGCAAGGCTGCATCTCACTCCCTCTGTGTGCTGTGCACATGGGGGTCACCGCTGAGCGGTGGGGAGCTGTGGCCCAGGGCTCAAGTGTGGCCTCTCTAGACTTTAGGGCTCACCTGCACCAGCTTTCTGCCCTCACTGCCCCGAGGGCGAGCCCACTCCTGCCCAAGCACAGTGCGGTGGCCCTTTCATGTCCCAGACCCAGAGCACACAGTTCATTCTATACAGGGGCCAGGCCAGACCCCACAGCACACAGTTCATTCTCTACAGAGGGTGGGGCCAGACCCCACAGCACACAGTTCATTCTATACAGGGGCCAGGCCAGACCACACAGCACACAGTTCATTCTATACAGAGGGTGGGGCCAGACCCACAGCACACAGTTCATTCTGCACAGGGGCCAGGCCAGACCCATAGCACACAGTTCATTCTATACAGGGGCCAGGCCAGACCCCACAGCACACAGTTCATTCTCTACAGAGGGTGGGGCCAGACCCCACAGCACACAGTTCATTCTATACAGGGGCCAGGCCAGACCACACAGCACACAGTTCATTCTATACAGAGGGTGGGGCCAGACCCACAGCACACAGTTCATTCTGCACAGGGGCCAGGCCAGACCCATAGCACACAGTTCATTCTATACAGGGGCCAGGCCAGACCACACAGCACACAGTTCATTCTATACAGGGGCCAGGCCAGACCCCACAGCACACAGTTCATTCTATACAGGGGCCAGGCCAGACCCCACAGCACACAGTTCATTCTATACAGGGGCCAGACCAGACCCCACAGCACACAGTTCATTCTATACAGGGGCCAGGCCAGACCCACAGCACACAGTTCATTCTATACAGGGGCCAGACCCCACAGCACACAGTTCATTCTATACAGGGGCCAGGCCAGACCACACAGCACACAGGTTCATTCTATACAGGGGCCAGGCCAGACCCCACAGCACACAGTTCATTCTATACAGGGGCCAGGCCAGACCCCACAGCACACAGTTCATTCTATACAGGGGCCAGGCCAGACCCACAGCACACAGGTTCATTCTATACAGGGGCCAGGCCAGACCCACAGCACACAGTTCATTCTATACAGGGGCCAGGCCAGACCCCACAGCACACAGTTCATTCTATACAGGGGCCAGGCCAGACCCCACAGCACACAGTTCATTCTATACAGGGGCCAGGCCAGACCCACAGCACACAGGTTCATTCTATACAGGGGCCAGGCCAGACCCACAGCACACAGTTCATTCTATACAGGGGCCAGGCCAGACCCCACAGCACACAGTTCATTCTATACAGGGGCCAGGCCAGACCCCACAGCACACAGTTCATTCTATACAGGGGCCAGGCCAGACCCACAGCACACAGTTCATTCTATACAGGGGCCAGACCCCACAGCACACAGTTCATTCTATACAGGGGCCAGGCCAGACCCACAGCACACAGTTCATTCTATACAGGGGCCAGGCCAGACCCCACAGCACACAGTTCATTCTATACAGGGGGCAGACCCACAGCACACAGTTCATTCTATACAGGGGCCAGACCCACAGCACACAGTTCATTCTATACAGGGGCCAGGCCAGACCCCACAGCACACAGGTTCATTCTATACAGGGGCCAGGCCAGACCCCACAGCACACAGTTCATTCTATACAGGGGCCAGGCCAGACCCCACAGCACACAGTTCATTCTATACAGGGGCCAGGCCAGACCCACAGCACACAGTTCATTCTATACAGGGGCCAGGCCAGACCCCACAGCACACAGTTCATTCTATACAGGGGCCAGGCCAGACCACACAGTTTATTTTGCACAGAGGGTGGGGCCAGACCCCCAGCACACAGTTCATTCTGTACAGTGGGTGGGGCCAAACAGCCCGGGGGGTCTGCTGGTGGCTCGGGTGCTTACCCTCGGGTAAAAACAGGCTCAGGTCATGCTCCCGGGAAGAACCCGCCCCACCCCGTGCTGCTCAGTCCTGACAGCTCGTGCTGGGCACGGCCAGGCTGCGTCAACAGCCGTTCTGTGAAGGGGCACAACCCAGGAGGAGCCTGGCCACTGGTGCAGGGCTGTCTTGTCTGGAGGCTCACTTCTGCCTCAGCTTTTTGATGAAGGAAACCTCGTCCCGATTGCGGATCCCGTAACTGAAAGGACAAAAGGCGCAGTGTCTGACTGCAGGTGGGTGTGTAAGTCCCCACCGCAGGGGTGTGGGAGACCCCGAGTGAGCCACAGGTGAGGCGTGCGCGCCCGCCCGCAGGCCCGAGAGGAGCAGCCGGCCGCGGTTCACTTGCACGCGTCGCCCCGAGCTGTGCAGCCCTGAGCCACGGCTGGAGAGAACCAGCAGTGCCCATGCTCTGCTCCGCTGCCTGCCATCTCCTGAGCCCCGCGGAGGCAGCAGACCACGTGACCCCTCCCTGGACTTACTCGCGGAGCTTCTTCCTGTCCTCTGTGAGCTTCTCTCCCGCAGAGGTCAGGTGGTACGTCCTCCACACGTAGGACCTGCACGGGGGGCCTCAGGTAAACTCCCGAGCAGGCCGAGCGCGGCAGCTCGGGGGGACAGTGCCGTGGGGCCTGCCAGAGGGGCAGCTGGGCCCCGCACACCTCGCGAAGGAGACAGACGGCAGTGCTGAGCTGCTGTGAGGACACGCGACTCAGCAGGACAGCGAGGCCAGCAGTGTCTGAGGAAGGGACAGGGCCACGGATGGTGCTCCAGCTGTCACCAGCGTAGGCCATGGACGGTGCTCCAGCCGACACTGGGGAGGCCACTTCTGGACACACTAGTGTCCTAAGTGTCCCCAAGTGAAGGTATCAGCAGCTCAGCTGGGTGACATGACGAGAGACGTGTAAGAGCAGCGGAGGGAGCTTTCCTGCAGGCCCCTGTGACGGGCCGTGACGGGGCTGCTGTCCCACTCACCAGCTGATGTGCTGAATGCCCCCTTCTCGCTCCTGCTTGAGCTGCACGTATCTCTGGATGGCCTTCTTCAGGTCCAGGACCGTGGCGTTCTGCACCACGACCACAGCTGCAGGGAGAAGACGTGGGGTGGGGATTCACAGCCCTGGCTTCCGCCTGCGGGTTTCCCGACGGCTAGGCCCGCTACCATCTGAAGCGGAGAGCGGCACTCACGCATGACTTCTCCGTCCATCTTGGACACTCGGACCGTCATCGCTTGGCCGTATTCTAGTGCAATCTGGGAGTTGATCTCTTCCAAAGTCACCTAGAAAGCGCCAAGCAGGGGCAGTGGGAACCCTGGCTTTGTTTATCAGCCCAAACGGAACCAAACTTTATGGAGGGCCGGGGGAGGGGCTCCCTTTAGCACCTCAGTCTCAGGTTCCACCCGACTTCTCTATTTCATGCCGAATGGCTGTGGAAGCAGGGAGAGTGAGCCCCCAGGGGCTGCTGGGGGGGGAGGAGGGAGACGCTGGGCCTTTCAGTTTGCCCAAGAGCCCCTGGTCACCAGGATCCAGGCCAGAGCCCTGGACTAAGTGGGAGGCATGTGTGCAAAATACACAAGGCAGGAACACACGGCAGTGATAAGACTGCAGTATAACACTTTTCTTAGAGGAAATTCGCCTCTGCATCTACTTATTTGACGGGGGCGGGGCGGGGAGGAAGGAGAGGGGAGAGAAACACGAGTCTTCCATCCGCAAACGGCCCCAGCACCCAGGGCTAGGCCACGCCGAAGCCAGGGGCCGGGAGCCTCACCGGGCCCCAGGCACTGGGCCGCCCTCCGCCGCTCCCCGAGGAGCGCTGGCAGGGAGCCGGAAGGGAGCGGAGCAGCCGGAGCTCCCATTCTTCAACTGTCCTTTACCGACAACCTTCTGCATCAAGTTTGGCACCGTTTCCCCTGCCCCTTCACGCCGGGCCCGGACCAGGCCGGCCGCAGTCCCCCATCAGCACCTCTCCGGCGGCAGGTGGCCGCTCTGGCCGCGCGCACCTGGATCGGCAGGTCGCAGAGCAGCGGGTCCTGCACCACCATGGCGAGACCCTCCTGGAACACGTCCACCGCTTCCGAGTGAGGCAGCGTCTCCTCTTCGTCCTCATCCTCCTCCGGCACCTCGGGCCCCTCGGCCTCCTCGGCCTGCTCCGCTGCCTCCACGGTCGCCAGCCCGGAGCCGCCGGCCGCCGGCCCAGCCACTCCACGCTCGGGAGGCGGAGCACGGACGCGGACTGGGCCCACCTCCGTGAGGACGTCCAACCACCGGCGGGCCAAGGGGCGGGGCGGGCGCCCCAACCAATGGGAGTGCGAGGCGGCTTGCCGCAGGGCCGGCTGGGAGCGAGGGTCGGCGTGTCTATTGGTGGGCTAGCGGCGGGGGCCGCCGGGACCAACGTGAGGTCGAGGTGGGCGGGGTGTCGGCGTCGCGCGGCCAGGGAGCTTCCGGCCGTGGGGGCGCGCGGGCCAGGGCGCCGCCATGCTGCTGTTCTGCCCCGGCTGCGGGAACGGGCTGATCGTGGAGGAGGGCCAGCGCTGCCACCGCTTCGCCTGCAACACCTGCCCCTACGTGCACAACATCACCCGCAAGGTGGGCCTCGACGTTAGGGTCGGCCTCCGGCGGCCCCGGCCTCGCGTCCCTGGCCTGTGGGCGCATCTGTCCAAGACGCGCGCACGCCGGCGCCTCTCGCCTGGCCCGGCCGCCGCCTCCCTTCTGGGGCTGGTTTCGGAGTCGCCTGGTCGGGGCAGGGCGGCGGCTCCAGCTCCGGCCGCGGCCGCCCTCGGTGCCGCTCCGCGTCCCGCGTGGCGCCCGGCGTTCCTCGGGCGGCCTCCGTTTACTCGCGCTCCCTGGAGTGCTCCCGCCCCCCTCGGTCCCTTCTGCTGCCTTGTGGTCCGAGCGCGGTCCAGGGCAGAAGGCCTCGGCAGGCCTCCTTCCCTGTGTTTGTCCGGCCGCCTGGCTCGCACCTGGAGCCCCGGGGTGTCCAGCCGGCGAGCCGCGCGCACTGGCCTGGCACCCACCTGGAGCCCCGGGGTGTCCAGCCGGCCAGCCGCCCGCACTGGCCTGGCACCCACCTGGAGCCCCCGGGTGTCCAGCCGGCCAGCCGCCCGCACTGGTCTGCCGTGCACCTGAAGCCCCGGGGTGTCCAGCTGGCGAGCCGCGCGCACTGGTCTGGTGTGCACCTGGAGCCCCGGGGTGCCCAGCCGGCGAGCCGCGCGCACTGGCCTGGCACGCACCTGGAGCCCCAGGGTGTCCAACTGGCGAGCCGCCCGCACTGGCCTGGCACCCACCTGGAGCCCCGGGGTGTCCAGCCGGCGAGCCGCCCGCACTGGCCTGGCACCCACCTGGAGCCCCGGGGTGTCCAGCCGGCCAGCCGCGCGCACTGGTCTGCCCTGCACCTGGAGCCCCGGGGTGCCCAGCCGGCGAGCCGCCCGCACTGGCCTGGCACCCACCTGGAGCCCCGGGGTGTCCAGCCGGCGAGCCGCCCGCACTGGTCTGCCGTGCACCTGGAGCCCCGGGGTGTCCAGTTGGCGAGCCGCGCGCACTGGTCTGCCCTGCACCTGGAGCCCCGGGGTGTCCAGCCGGCGAGCCGCCCGCACTGGCCTGGCACCCACCTGGAGCCCCCGGGTGTCCAGCCGGCCAGCCGCCCGCACTGGTCTGCCGTGCACCTGAAGCCCCGGGGTGTCCAGCTGGCGAGCCGCGCGCACTGGTCTGGTGTGCACCTGGAGCCCCGGGGTGCCCAGCCGGCGAGCCGCGCGCACTGGCCTGGCACGCACCTGGAGCCCCAGGGTGTCCAACTGGCGAGCCGCCCGCACTGGCCTGGCACCCACCTGGAGCCCCGGGGTGTCCAGCCGGCGAGCCGCCCGCACTGGCCTGGCACCCACCTGGAGCCCCGGGGTGTCCAGCCGGCCAGCCGCGCGCACTGGTCTGCCCTGCACCTGGAGCCCCGGGGTGCCCAGCCGGCGAGCCGCCCGCACTGGCCTGGCACCCACCTGGAGCCCCGGGGTGTCCAGCCGGCGAGCCGCCCGCACTGGTCTGCCGTGCACCTGGAGCCCCGGGGTGTCCAGTTGGCGAGCCGCGCGCACTGGTCTGCCCTGCACCTGGAGCCCCGGGGTGTCCAGCCGGCGAGCCGCCCGCACTGGCCTGGCACGCACCTGGAGCCCCGGGGTGTCCAGTCGGCCAGCCGCCCGCACTGGCCTGGCACGCACCTGGAGCCCCGGGGTGTCCAGCCGGCGAGCCGCCCGCACTGGTCTGCCGTGCACCAGGAGCCCCGGGGTGTCCAGCCGGCGAGCCGCCCGCACTGGTCTGCCGTGCACCTGGAGCCCCGGGGTGTCCAGCCGGCGAGCCGCCCGCACTGGTCTGCCGTGCACCTGGAGCCCCGGGGTGTCCAGCCGGCGAGTCGCGCGCACTGGCCTGGCACCCACCTGGAGCCCCCGGGGTGCCCAGCCGGCCAGCCGCCCGCACTGGCCTGGCACGCACCTGGAGCCCCGGGGTGCCCAGCCGGCCAGCCGCGCACTCTCGCGCACACATGGTTAGCGCCTGTCACTTCCCCTCCTCCTCACGGCTGTGCGTCTGCTGGGCTCCCTCCATTCTCTGCCCTGGTGGTCCTGTCCCCTTGCTTGGAGGCTGAGGACTTGTTTCTGTTAGGTCACAAACCGGAAGTATCCGAAGCTGAAAGAAGTGGACGACGTGCTTGGGGGAGCGGCCGCCTGGGAGAATGTTGACTCCACTGCAGGTGAGGGGAACCTTTTCTGACTCCGAGCTGGGAGTGGCCTGAGGTTGCTAACTGTGCCCTGTCTCATCTGATCACTTGGATGATGTAAGCACCTCAGAATGGAAGATATTGCCTTCGGCCGGTGCCGCGGCTCACTAGGCTAATCCTTCGCCTGCGGCGCCGGCACCCCGGGTTCTAGTCCCGGTCGGGGCACCGGATTCTGTCCTGGTTGCTCCTCTTCCAGGCCAGCTCTCTGCTGTGGCCCGGGAGGGCAGTGGAGGATGGCCCAAGTGCTTGGGCCCTGCACCCCATGGGAGACCAGGAGAAGCACCTGGCTCCTGCCTTCGGATCAGCGCGGTGCGCCGGCCGCAGCGCGGCGGCCATTGGAGGGTGAACCAACGGCAAAAGGAAGACCTTTCTCTCTGTCTCTTTCTCTCACTGTCCACTCTGCCTGTCAAAAAAAAGGAAGATATTATAATTATTGTTGTTATTATAAAATAACAAAAATAATATTTGTTATTTTATAATAAATATTATAATTATAATATTTGTTATTTTATAATTGTTACACCAAGTTTTGGTTTAAGTCTTGGAGTCATAGGCAGGGGTTATATTCTCAAGGCAACCTCTAGTTGGGGACCTTGGTGGAGTCTGTTTTTCAGATTTAGCTTTTATTTATTTGAAAGGCAGAGTTGGAAGGAGAGAGGGAGAGAGCTCTTCTGCTTTGGTTCACTCTGGAGATGGCCACAATAGCTGGAGCTGGGCCAGGCTGAGACCTAGAGCTGGAATCTCCATCTGGTCTCCCACGTGGGTGGCAGGAGCCCAAGTACTTGAGCCATCGTAGACTCCTTCCCGGGTGTACTAGCAGGGACTGGCTCAGAAGTACAGTAGCTGGGCTCAGACTGGCACTGTGATACAGGGTGCACCTGTCCCAAGCTGCACCACAGTGCCTGTTCCTGGTTGAATCTCTCTCTCTCTTTTTTTCCTTATGATCTATTTATTGATTTTTTTAAGGATTTATTTATTTGAAAGTCAGAGTTACACAGAGAGAGGAGAGGCAGAGAGAGAGAGGTCTTCCATCTGATGGTTCACTTCCCAGATGGCCTCAACGGCTGGAGCTGTGCCGATCCGAAGCCAGGAGCCAGGAGCTTCTTCCGGGTCTCCTGCGCAGGTGCAGGGACCCAAGGACTTGGGCCATCTTCCACTGCTTTCCCAGGCCATAGCAGAGAGCTGGATCGGAAGAAGAGTAGCCGGGACTCGAACCGGCACCCATGTGGGATGCCAGCGCTTCAGGCCAGGGCAGTAACCCACTGCACCACAGTGCCGGCCTGACAGCCAGGATTTTAACCTGTGCTCCGATAGAGGAGGCCAGTGTTGGAAGCAGCGGCTTCATCCGCTGCACCACTGTGCTGACCCTAAACTCATGCCTTTAATTCCATTTTCCCGTTAGTTTCAAGTACTCTCATGTGAAGACAGACATTTATGTAAACTACTCACTGGGGAGAGTCATGTGGACGAGCAGAATGCCACATCCCCTTGATGAGGGGGCTTGAACGTGCAGGAAGCCCACCGCAGTGGATAATCAAAGCTGATGACTTCCAGTACACGGTTCTGTCAGTTAGGTGTGTCCTGGGAGAGGCGTTTGTAAAAGTTGGTAAGGTTTTAGCCTGCCCCGACAGTGGGCGAGCGAGCTGAAGTGAGTTTTTTCTGCCTTGATCTCTTGACTTCACTTTCTTTGGGCCTGAAAACCTGAACCTAACAGCCGGCCCCTTTTTCAGCTTTTTACTAGAATTATTATTTTAAAGCTTTATTTGGGAGGCGGAGTGACGGAGAGAGAGGGAGACACAGAGTGCGTGCTCTTCCATCCACTGGTTCACTCCCCAGATGCCACAACCGCCAGGGCTGGGCCAGGCTGAAGCCAGGGTTTAGGAGCTTCATCCGAGTCTCCCACGCGGGTGCAGGGGCCCGGGGTCTTGGGCCGTCTTCTGCTGCTTTTCCAGGCCACAGCAGAGAGCTGGATTGGAAGAAGAGCAGGTGCTCTTATGGGATGCCAGCAGCAACACAGCACCCGCCCATCACTAGAGGATTTAAAAGTCAGGCAGCCTCCTGAGCAGTCGGCTGCCTGAAGCTTCTGCTAGATAATTCTAGGTAAATCCAGAGTCTGTTTCTGGGACATGGATGGAAGTCGGCCAAGAATTTGCTGCTTTGTAGCAAGGATGGCCTTCCCAGATGTTTCTCCTGTCTGAGACTTGGATAGCAGCCTTTAGTGTCCGTGTTTCCACCGACGTCCTGTGTACAGCCTGTCTGTGATGGGGCAGTGATTTCACACACGGACATCTGGCGGAGCAGTGGAGGTCATGTGCCTGGGTTCGAGTCCTGGCCCGGCCTCCTGTCTCAGCGTCTGCTAATGCATATGCAGGGAGGCTGTAGTTGGAGACCTGGGCTCCTGGGCGTTGCAGGCATGTGGGGAGTGAATTGAATGGATGGAAGATCTCTGTCCATGTTTCTCTGCCTTTCAAATAAAAATGGAAAAAAGTGTTAATGAAAGAAAATAAAATTTAAACTATAAAATGTTTGTGGAGAAATGGAATTAAAAGATAAAAATAAATTTACTTAGATGGAAAAAATCAGAATGTCCTTCCCTGGTGTTTTATGGTAGGTGCTTCCTGGACCTTGTTGAAGACCCTAGGGAGAGTCTCTCTGCAACTGGTTTTTTTTTTTTTTTTTAAGATACTTATTTATTGAGACACAGAGTTACAGAGAGGCAGAGGCAGAGAGAGAGTCTTTGATCTGCTGGTTCACTCCCCATTGGCCACAACAGCTGGAGCTGAGCCAGTGTGAAGCCAGGAGCCAGGAGCCAGGAGCTTCTTCTGAGTGTCCCACGAGGGTGCAGGGGCCCAAGGACTTGGGCCATCTTCCACTGCTTTGCCAGGCCACAGCAGAGAGCTGGATCGGAAGTGGAGCAGCCGGGACTCACACTGGCGCCCACATGGGATGCCGGCGCCCAGGCAGAGGCTCTGCCCGCTGTGCCCCAGCGCCGGCCCCTCTGCGACTCTGAGCCCGCCAGAGTCTCCCGTAATGCGCTGGTCATGAAAACGCAGCAGGCTTGTCAGGAAGCTCGTGTGGAATCGTTACATTTCACTGAAAATACTGAGAGCTGGCGCTGTGGTGTGGCGGGTTAGGCCGCCGCCCGCGACTGGCATCCTGTGTTGGGGCGTCAACCAGCACTGGGCTGATGTGCCTGGCAGCGTCCTTGGGCCCTGCTGCCCGTGCAGGACGTATCTGGCGCTCTGGGCTCCCGGGTGGGACCTGACCGGCTCCTGCTCTTGCCGTCTGGAGAGTGAAGCGCAGAAGGAAGGTCTCGGCCTTCTGCTTGTTAACTGAGATTTCACTGGTGTTGAGAATCAACGCAGACATTTTCATTTTTACACAGTTCTTAACATGCAAGGCAGAATCTAGGAAGCCTGAATTTTCGTTCTGTTTTCAAAAGTCACTCCAGTCATTTCCAGCTTCAAATTTGGAGGCAGCTCTTCCCATCAAGCACCAGCATCTTCAAGCGTTGATGTGACATAAATCCCGCCCTTTACAGGGTAACATCCTGTATGTGACAGACTCAAAAACGTGAACTAAACCACTAGGGAAAGTGGACCCCCACAGCCAGAGATTGACAGAGCACACGTGGTCTGACAGCAACGCCGGGTGGTTTTCTGTCAGGACAGATGAAATGCACCTTTGCCGTTTAGTATGTGTTGTAGGATATAAAAGCCACCCCCACCTGTGGAGTGTCAAGCTGACGGCCACGACAGCCGAAGCCTCCCATGATGGACTGTGTTGTCTGTCTGTCTGTCTGTATTATTATAATGCTACTATTTTCTGGTTGTATCAAAAAACAAACAACCAGCAAGTGATTTCACCTCTTAAAAATTATTTACACTTGGCCAGTGCCGCGGCTCACTAGGCTAATCCTCCACCTAGCGGCACCGGCACACCAGGTTCTAGTCCCGGTTGGGGCGCCGGATTCTGTCCCGGTTGCCCTTCTTCCAGGCCAGCTCTCTGCTGTGGCCCGGGAGTGCAGTGGAGGATGGCCCAGGTGCTTGGGCCCTGCACCCCATGGGAGACCAGGAGAAGCACCTGGCTCCTGCCTTCAGATAGGCGCGGTGCACCGCTGGCCGCGGCGGCCATGGGAGGGTGAACCAGTGGCAAAAGGAAGACCTTTCTCTCTGTCTCTCTCTCTCACTGTCCACTCTGCCTGTCAAAAAAAAAAAAAAAAAAGTTTCTAGAGCTACTGAAAAACGTGCATTTAAACAGTAGTTGGTAAATTATTCCTGTGGATTGCACGAGAAGGGAGACAGGCGTCTGATATTAACCAGGGCGTCTGATATTAATCAGACTTGGCTTCTTTCTCTTCCTTCATCAGAGGTCACTCTGCCTTTCAAATAGATCCGTAAATCTTTTAGAAACTATGCATGGACTGGAAACTGTTAGTTTCATTTTCTATGAGCTCTTTGAAATTCTCTTACACAGGCTTTTTCAGTACTTACTTCAAAGCTGTTTGAGCCTCTCCCCATTACTCAGTCTCCAGCAGTTTGTTACAGCAGCACCAACCGTGGAGATAGCCCCCTTCCAAGTTACTTCTCTAATCAGTCTCCAGCCAGATGGGAGAGACGCAGGGTCCCAGGACGGGAGGAGTGTTTCACAGGGCACAGGTTCACCTGTCCCTTCAGTGTTCGAGCTTGGTGGGAGTGGAGCCTCTGTTGGTAGTGTCCTTACGTGATCTTACGAAGTGTCCCTCACCAGCATCGTTTTTGTGAAGATTTATCTGTTTGGGGTCAGCGCTGTGGCCCAGCAGGTTAAGCTGCCCCTGCAGCACCAGCTTCCCAGATGGGCGCCGGTTCA